CGCTCTCGCGCGCCCAGCGGCGCGCGAGGGGGCGTGTCTGAGCGGACGTCTAAAGACGCCCGCTCAGATCTAGAGAGCTCCGGGCCGGCTGTTTTTTTACTACGGCCGGCCCGGAAGTGGTTAAGGGACATTTCCTTCAGGAACTTAATCTGGATTGCAGCTACTCCGAGGTACCAGAGCACTGCTGGAAGCCTTCACAATAACTTGAGGATTGTGTGGAGTCTCCTGATATTGAGGAGATAATAATTTACAATGCCAAACAGTCTAAGAACCAGAACATACTGTACAATAATGAAGAACGAAGCTCAATTTGAATCTAAAATAACCATAAAACAGTCACTATCATTTTTTAGATAAAGAATTCGCTCTCAATCAGCATGTTGTAGTAGAGAGTTGAGTTAAAGACACTTAGGGGGAATTTGTCATAGCAATTGCGAGTGTTTGATGCACTTTGCACCAGATTTATGATGCTAGTGTAATGTTGTTGATAAATGAGGTTAAATAGACTCCAGGAAAGAAGACTCGTAACTCCAGGCAAAAAGCTTAACTGTCACTTCTTAAAGAAGAGGCCATGGGGACTTCTTAAAGGAGAACTATGAGGTGAGTGCTTTTCACTCACCTCATAGTTCTAGCCGACCTGTGACAATGAGATTGTCACAGGTCGGCTCAGTAGATCACGAAGTGAGTGAACACATACCGGCGTTCGCTCACTTCTTGATGATGTCCCTGCAGAGAGCTGTGACTGTCACTCATGGCTCACTGCAGGGATTCCCCCTCCCCTTTTGCAGAATACAGAAATAGGCTTAGTGTCACATTAATGCAGCCAAATATGTCCCAAATGTGTTTGTGTTTAAAAATATATCATGACTGCCAACAAATTATGCACCAGTATCAGCATCAGTGGTTACTCTTACAGCCTCGTGTATTCAAAACTATGAAAAGGTACAGATTTGTGTGCAACTAATGATGAAGACTACTAGAGCTAAAAAGGGCAAGTTATCCTGCACCCACCAGGATATGAGGTCCCACAGCAGACTAGTTGGTAAAAAGGCCTAATTATTTAATGTGCTAAATCTCATATCTAATTCTCCAAGTGCACAATAAAATTCTTAATTTAAAATGGTACATCTCATCTTTAATGTGCACAGCTTTGTGATATTTTCATTTAAAAAAAACTAGAAATACAGTAGATCTAACACTTGTTTGATGCCTAATAAATTCTTCTTCCTATCCCAAATGTTCTAAATCCATAAAATGTGCGCAGAGCGAGAGCTTTAAAATAACCACTCATGTTACAATTCAATAGTACAGCCTCCTTTAGATCTACCAACAACTATGGGGACATTTATCAAGCAAATTAGCTACATAATTAGTCGCAAATCAGGCTGCCTCTCAGGTTTCCAGTCCCATTCCTCTGTTTTTCTGGGCAGACAAATTTTACAGATTGCAAAGCTTTAAGACTTATTCATTTTTAAAGATGGGACAGATTTTCACTCTAAACAGTTACATATTTAGAAGGTGGTCAGAGTCAGGTTTTATTCTGTTGCAGTACTACATTAAAGTGATATTAAAGGCAAAAAAATGTTTCCCTCCCCCCCATGTAAATGTTAGCACTTACCTTAAATGATGTCTCTTTTTCCGATCTTCCTCTTCTTTCCCCATGTTTTCATGTGTCCCTCCAGCGGTGTGACGTCACTCCGATCCAGCGCTGACTGCTCTGTCCCTCCGATCCAGCGGTGTCTGCAGGCGGGTGCACGCGTCCATAGACTTACCTTGCGTCTCTGCTCGTCTCCCGGCCGAGAATCGGATTCTACGCATGCGCCCGCCCCAAGATCCTTTGCGGCCGTACGAGCAGTTCCTGATTCTCGGCGCAGGAGCGAGCAGCGATAACGAGGTAAGTTTAAAATGATTTTAAGCAGTTTTTTTTTTTTACACTTCTTGCCTATATCTACTGCTTGCTAGCAGTAGATATAAGCAAAAAAAAAAACAGAGGGTTTAGAACCCCTTTAAGGGTCCAGTCACACCAGTTGCTGTGCAAAATGCATAGCAGACTGTGTACTTTATTTTTTTTAGAACTTTATTGAAATATCACAAGTGACATTTCATTCATTTCTACGGGCACAGCAGGATGCGGCAGGGTTGTTCTGCTTCGCATCCCACAGCACTGAGAATAAATAAGGCATTCCGTACTTTTTTCAGCACACACCACCATGTTCCCACTGCAACACGGTGGTGTGAAAGGTGTCCATCCATGACAAGGCAAATTGCTTTGTCTTGCATTGAGGTTGCTCTGGAAACAATGGCCAATGCAGCCCCAACACATGTGGTGTGAATGGACCCTAAAGGAGCCAAGTGAGGAATTTATACTTTATCCTTGTTATAAATCTGTTGCACAATTTGTCTCACTGTGCATTTTAGCACTGCTCTGCCATGCAACAGAAGTGATAAATGTTCCCCTATGTATTTTAAGGGCTTGCCTGAGTGGAGACAAGTTTAATTGGGTGTTTAGTTAGGCTCCTCTATTGGATAGTTTTATTACATTTAATTATGGTTATGTAGACTCTATCAGATTTCAATATTTGTAGCCATTTTTAAACATTAAAGGAGAAGGATTAGGAGAGTAAACTGTACTCTTCCTAATACTTCGAGCTGGCAATGCAGGTGCCACATGATGGCTCTAAAGATCAAGAGCTGAGCAAGCAGAGCTCAGCACTGTCAGCAAATAGTAGGCAGTATCCTGCTAAATGCTGACTTTGGGTCACAAGAGTACATCTCCTGTGACCCTAAGGAGTAGGGATGCACAGATACCAAGTATTATACTTGGTACAAGTACAAGTCCAGATACATTTTCAGCTACTAGACTACAGATAAACTCAAAAGTTAGGAGGTGCCATTTTTGAGGAGCATTGGCTACTGGGCTCCTGGGATTTGTGCATCTCTGTTTTAATGTATGATTTGTTTTATATATATTAGGGATGCACCAATACCATTTATTCCAGACCAAACACAAGTGCCAATACTTGTCCTCACAGATACCAATTACTGATACCTTTTTGTTTATTGTCCTGTGATAGTTTTTCTAAAACAATACAGACTAGTGCCTTCAGGACAGTGGTGGAGCACCAGGGCCCAGTCGCCGCTGCAACCGCTGCAACCGCTGCAACCGCTGCAACCGCTGCAACCCTGGTAGTTCTTGTGAAAATGCCAAGTATCAGCACTGGTATCTGAAGTGAGCCATTCCTACTAAGGAGGACTAAAGCCAAAAAAGGTTTGGCTTTAGTTCTGTTTTAAAGAGCATCTGTATTTGTGTCTAAAAATGACTTTAGAGAGTGCTTAACATGCTTCAGAACATGTTGAATGCCTCCTAGCACTGGTACACCACAATAATTGAATGTGAACTGCAATGTTTATTCATTAAAGTTCACTTCACTATCTCCATAAAGCATTTCCTGCCCCCCCCCCACAAAAGAAAACTAGTGGTGTATATCCCACACAAATACAAGTACTGATATCCTGTTAGTATCAATCAACAAGGAGTCGTGAACAACTACCCATCCAGATACATTAGACAAGACAGGTACTTATGATCACAATAAGGTTCTCTGGAATGCTTTTTACACTGGATAATAAGCTCTTCTGGGCATGTGTATTTAATATTTTTATACTCACTAGATACAAATCAGCTTCTGCTTAGAAGTGCATGGGTTAGAAGCAGTTCAATGTATCAGACTGATGATTGCAAATCTTCTTTCTAACAAATAGGGCTATGAATTAAATTTTCTTGTGTTGCCTACTACTCAGTTATTTAAAGATATATTATTTTTGTTAAAGACTTAATACAAACCACATATATTTAAAAATCTCTAATTATGTAATCTGCGTTGCTACCATATAATAATGTTTCTTACGCATATGAGCATCGGCAATGTGCATTTTTGTTTATTTTATCTCAATTCAGATAACGTTTATTATGTGCTTTATGTTCATGGATTTTCAATTCTTTCTTAGAAAATCCACGGCTTTGAGTTATGTGCATTTTCTTGCTTTAATTTCCCTCTTAATGAGATTCCAAAGACTGTGCCATAAATCATTTTCACCAACCTGCTTCAGCCTTCTGCTGCTTTTCAATTTTTTCCAGCCTGCCCAGCAAAGAGTCGATCTTGGTTTTGATTTGGGTCAGTTCCTTCTTGATTGTCTGAAGCTCATCAGATTTTACTGTTGAAAAAGAAAAGAACGAAACTGAAAAACAATAATTTTATCCTAACAGACAGACAGCACAACTACCTCAAATGTTCTGTGCATTATGTCGCAGTTGTGGGGTGTAATTTCTGTGCCTGCTATCTGCAATGTTGTAGGTGATTTTCAACAAATATTTTCAAACAGAATAGAGTTTGTATCAAGGATCCCAGAAAGTGTCACTTTTAAAGAAAGCCTTCATTCGGATTGAAGGTTTAGTGTGGTATCATCTTCAATCAGTTTTGCCATTTATTTTATCAAAGTCCACCATCTCCAAATTATAGCATAATAATATGTAATTTATGAACACTGTATTATTAGTGGTGACAGGATAAGCTGTGTTTGGTATAAATATGTGTCTAAATTTTAGGTGTATATCTGACAAGGTTTAAGGTTAATCACAACATTTTATATAGACCCATCTCTTATGTTCACTTCCGTATCTAACAGTTGGCATGATGATGCTTTTAAGTATGGATGTTGTGCACAACGGCTTTAAGGTGGTATTTGAACATACATGGCTTGATGCCAAACGACAGGAATATATTCATGAAAAATTGCCACAAGAGGAAGTGAGAGGGAATCTCACCATTGTGAGTTGTTACCAGTACAGGTGTCCCTATTATAAGATTTCCCACTAACACTGGTCCCCAGGGAAAATAGAGGGATAAATCTTCCTTGCCCAGATAAAGACCTTAGGGGGGATAATACTCTCAAGAATCCATATGGTAGTTCAGTACAAACTTGAAAAAGTTTATCATACCAAATAATGTGACATAGCAATGGCAATGGATTGGGATGCTATTACACATCCATCTCTACTAGGAAATTCTGATCAATCTAGGAATGACAAAAGCCAATTGAACATTCATATCCTGTTTCAAAATCATAACACGAGGTGGGTGACAGAGAAAAGAACAACTAACTGATATCATAGTAATACAAACATAAAACTATAACCTTAACTATATGGAACTGATATGGAAATTAAAATATATGCAATTGGTAAGGTATGTAGGTTACCTTGTTGAATAGGCGTATCACGTTTAAAAGGCATGTGGAATAAGCATGACTTTAAATATGATGTGTTTTAAATTCTGTGATTACTTTGTCTTGTAATCTGAGCAGCGGGTCATGCTATAAAACAATTTCAATGGAATTTATGATCTGGGCATACTGGCACAATGCTTGCTGAGCCTAGTCAAATGAGGCTGTTTCGTCTTTATTAAACATGTTTTAGACAGGTGCTCTGACAGAACAAATATTAAAGCAGTCACAGAAAATAAATGGAACCGATGGTGCACTCAGTGTGAAGTGGACAGCATGCAATCTGTTCATTGATTTAGCACAAGCCTGACCCATTTATCTTATGAAAATGTGTTTCTGGGGCACTTGGCTGTAGGAATCAAAAACAGGAGTCACCAGGCCCAAATGCTTGTAAAGCATGCCTGGACAAATCTCACGCAGAACTAGGAGCCAACTGTAACTAAGAACCTAGAAGCCAAGAGCCCGAAGCCAGCAATGTGCGTGACAGGCTGAGCCAAGTTCACATATGATATAAGCTGGCAGGACTTGGCTCAGTCAGTCTTAGTCAACTAAGGCTGTCAATACAATTACACAGGGCCACCATTATAAATCAGAGCTCAGTAGTTCAAGCTGAGATTTAAACACACAAATGATCGAGTTAGCGCAGGGAGTCATCCCCATCTATCCATACAGCTATGTCAAAGGCTTTCAATTAGACAGGACCAGCCTGAAAGGAATAACAGCCTCTTTCTATAAAAATCCATGGGATGTATCTTAAGCAATCTAAATTGTTTTGGATAGAGTGGCAAAGGGTTAGAAGGCTAGGTTTGTATCACTTATGTGTCTCAATAGGCAGATTCACCCTTTGCATTTGTCCTGGTGACCATGAGTGTATGTGTAAAGCATATATAGTATACAAACTGTTAAACTTAACTTATAAGCTTTAAAAACAATGAATATACAATGAACACCAAATCATTATAGTTTCCCTTTTGTAAGAACTTCACTTAACCATTTCTAATAACTATACAAACACACACACACACACACACACACACACACACACACACACTGTATTTTTTATTCATGTATAAATTAATATTTTTAATATCACATAGTTTGTTAAGTAAGTTTTCTTTTGGCCACCTCAATGCTTTGATTTGTAATATTTTGAGCTATTTATATCCAAAATGATGCTCTTCATAGCTATGAAAACTTTTACTCTTTCTTTAATATAGCTATTCAACAATTTATTTCTTTGAATTCTTCTCATCTGAACTCATATTCCCTTTCTTTGGAGGAAAAACCTCATCAACACTATAAGTGGTCTATGAATTTGTGCAAATTCAATTTCAAAAGAAGTATAATAAAAAGGCATACAATTCTGATGTGAGCGAAATGACTTCTGTTTGATGAATGACAAGGGAATAACTTTTCTAAATACATTTCAACCCATCCAGAAATCAAATCCTCTGCATTGACGGAATGAATAATCTGAGAATGAATAGAGCCTTTTTGTACAAGCAGATTCTAGTAACAAATATTTCCAGTATCAGCTATCGGTGTCGCAGCAGCACAAAATAAAATTGGGAATCCATATGCCGGATAGGCAACAAATGATTTTGAGTATTAAAAATAAATATTGTTTAGGAAGCAATGGTAGGAAAACTTTCAATCTTTCTATTGGAATACAGCATTAATAGCAGAAAGTATGGTTGGGTTTAAGTCAAAGAAAATCAGCTTTGAAAAGCAATTTATCAGCATAACGCAGAAAATGCCTTGAGAGCATTTCATGGAGAGGCAAAATATATAAACCCATTAATGGTATGTACTCACAGGAGGCTGTAAACTCACAGCACTATTTACAAAAGCACAAGGGGCACTGCATGCAGCCGCTGTGTGCATTTGTGATCAGCAAGAATAGTAAACACCCCACAGGTCCTTACAATTGGAAAAAAAGAAAACATGTTGACTTTTGCTTATAGAGAAACGATTGTGTCAGGTTAATTGTATTTTTTTTTAAAGTTTATATATTTTTAAGCTGATGCTTTGCATTTTTACTATTTATATAAAATTGCTATTCTGCTATTGTCATTCTACATTCAAATTAAACATTTAATTCAGGGTGCACCCACGACACTGGTTTCATAAAGCAATATAGGCTTTCTAAATAAAAAGCACAAGGAAAATGGTATGCTTTTAAACCATTTCTCTCTAATTCAAAGTGTTTACAGAACTATACAAAAAAGAGAAAGGACTGAGGGAAGGGGATGAATGAATCATACAGTTGCATCTGTAAATGGGAACTTGAATTTAAGTAAAAAACACGGGTTTTCTTTTTATCTGTGTGCACACCCAGGCCATTTTGATTGGAGTGCAGGTACCACTCATCTATATTATATATTATATATAAATGGCAGCATATTCATTTTCTCTTACTATAGTAAAAAAAAAAAGTGCACCCGCAATGTGGGTTTTTACCTTTGTCTTGGCCCATAAATGTTCATGGATAGAGCGTGCTACCTTATACACTCATAAACATCAGGGTGCACTCAGTGTTCCTAATATTACTAAATACTATCAACGTCACAGATAGCGCAACTCTCATTTTAGTGGTGGGTTTCGAAAGGTTTCACACATGTTCATTGTTTTCATCACTCACATTCTTTCCCAGATTGGATGATGGTTAAAGAACAATATAATGCTTAGTCTTCAGAAATCCATAGACATCTCCGACATTGGATAGGGTCACAAATACATACATCAACATTCCATTTCATCACATCTGGATTTGAACAGATCTGTCTGCGTGCTCCTTGCTCCCCCAAATATATTCTTCCTTGATTTCCTGCTCCTTTAGTTTCAGGCTTACCTTTGTAGAGCAAGGGGAACAAGATATCTGTACACTTGAAATTCCGATTGTGGGAGGATTTGATCCAGAGTAGCCAGATGCTCATTCAACACTTCAGTACTGGAATCAGCTTATAAGGTTCTTTTGCGGTGGTATTGTATGCCAGCTAGGACAACTAAAGCAGTCCTGTCCTATAGTGACAGATGTGGTCTTTTAGGGGATGTTTTGCATATATGCTGGTCCCTAAATTGGTAGCCTTTTGGTCTAGGATTTTTGGTTTGATTCAGACTCTATTTCACATATTCCTCCTCGAAAAACACCTGGTTTCCTCTCTTGCATCCCACTATACCAGGTCTTACGGCCTTGCAACAAACATTGGTCAGCTTCTTATTCTTGGCAGCAAAACAAACAATTGCAAAGGCATGGTGGAAACCTAGAGTACCCATACAGGAGGTAAAGAAACGAATGATCATGCTTATGATAAATTAAAAATTGACCAGTATCTTCCAAGACACATATACTAAATCTCTTAAAATCTTGGAGCCATGGTTGATGTACATGCTTTCCTCTCTAAGCCCAGCAAGTTCTATCTATTTTTAATCTAGTGGTCCATTGGGGGTGTCGGCCATGTGGGGGGCGCTGTCTGATTCCCTATGCCAATTGCCTTTCCCTTCCCTCTCTGTTTAGTTTAGATTTTTCTTTATATAGGGGAATATTGTGAAGTACTTGGATTGCTGCCTTGCTCACTATTTGAGCCATGTACCTTTATTATGCGTATCTTTGAGCTCTTTGTAATCTCCTTTTCATTAGTTTTGGCTATTATGTGAATGTATTTATCATATAAGCTGAACTGGAAAGTTAGCTGAATTGGAGAATTTATCCATACCAGCTATGTTGTCCTAGATTGTTCACTTTTCTTGCCTTCTCCAAACTCTTCACCCTTTTGTGAATAACCCTGTATGTTTTTCCCCCCCAAAAATTAAATAAATATATTGAAAAGGAAAAAAATTAAAAACAAATATGTATCTCTATATTGAACTTCCAAAAGTTTTATCCTGCTCCTAATAACCATATCCATCTAGAACAGTGGCCAAAAGGATGC